TTAACCTTGGTTTTTGGCTCACCCCACAAATAAAGACTTTTTACTTAAAATCTTCATCCCTGCCTCCGTGTCATCCTGGGTACTGCATTTTGGGTCCACACCACCGCATCGTGACAGAATGGACCGACCAGAACAGGACCCAGCAGGAACTCCAGGTACACAGGAGATGTTCTATTATGACGGTGATCCAGACCTTTGTATGGGTTTCATTCGGGACTGTGCCCGTTGTTTGGACTTGGAATCTTCAGAGTTCAACAAGGTGTCGTATATGGTGCTCTGGTTGAGGGGTAAAGCCATGCGGTGGGTTGCTGACCGTTTCGACATAGAGGATCTTAAGGCTGTGTCTTTTTGGGACTTTGCTGCATTGCTCCTCCGCACTTTTGGCCGAGATCCTCCTCCACCATCGCTGATGCCACCTCAGCATCTCAGATGGGTCACACCGCCACACCCTCACCAGGTCCTGACAGGGCCACCACTTCCTCTCCGATGTGTCACACCGCCACACCCTAACCTGATCCGGACTGCATCAACTCCCCATCTCAGACCATCATAACCGGATTCATTTCAATCTCTCCTATGCATGTTGATGCCACCTCAGTTTCTCAGATGGAGTACACCACCACACCCTCACCAGGTTCTGACAGCGCCACCACTTCATCTCCGGTGGGCTGTATCACTTCCTCCGCACCTGTTGAAGTCACCCCCGCACCTCCTAGGAGTCGTGCTCATCGTAGACGACAACGCCATCACCAGCACTCTCCTGAGGCCAGAGTGGTGCCGCCTATCTCAGAGGCCCCTACTCGGAGACCTGCGTCTGAGTCACACCTCGCCTCAGCGGTGATCCAAGGGGACGCATCGCACCTCACCTCAGCGGTGGTCCAAGGGGACGCATCGCACCTCGCCCCAGCGGTGGTCCAAGGGGACGCATCGCACCTCGCCCCAGCGGTGGTCCAAGGGGACGCATCGCACCTCGCCCCAGCGGTGGTCCAAGGGGACGCATCGCACCTCGCCCCAGCGGTGGTCCAAGGGGACGCATCGCACCTCGCCCCAGCGGTGGTCCAAGGGGACGCATCGCACCTCGCCTCAGCGGTGGTCCAGGTGGACGCATCGCACCTCGCCTCAGCGGTGGTCCAGGTGGACGCATCGCACCTCGCCTCAGCGGTGGTCCAGGTGGACGCATCGCACCTCGCCTCAGCGGTGGTCCAGGTGGACGCATCGCACCTCGCCTCAGCGGTGGTCCAGGTGGACGCATCGCACCTCGCCTCAGCGGTGGTCCAGGTGGACGCATCGCACCTCGCCTCAGCGGTGGTACAGAAGCGGACGCCACCCGGCTCGAGCCCCGAAGCAGACGTACCCGGCTCGAGCCCCGAAGCAGACGTACCCGGCTCGAGCCCCGAAGCAGACGTACCCGGCTCGAGCCCCGAAGCAGACGTACCCGGCTCGAGCCCCGAAGCAGACGTACCCGGCTCGAGCCCCGAAGCAGACGTACCCGGCTCGAGCCCCGAAGCAGACGTACCCGGCTCGAGCCCCGAAGCAGACGTACCCGGCTCGAGCCCCGAAGCAGACGCTCCCACGTACCCGGCTCGAGCCCCGAAGCAGACGGCGCTCCCACGTCCCCGGGCCCCGAAGCAGACGGCGCTCCCACGTCCCCGGGCCCCGAAGCAGACGTCGCCTCCTCCGGCTCTGAAGCAGACGGCGCTTCCACGTCCCCGGGCCCCGAAGCAGACGTCGCCTCCTCCGGCTCTGAAGCAGACGGCGCTTCCACGTCCCCGGGCCCCGAAGCAGACGTCGCCTCCTCCGGCTCTGAAGCCGACGGCGCCCCCTCCGGCTCTGAAGCAGACGCGCCCGGCTCTGAAGCCGACGGCGCCCCCTCCGGCTCTGAAGCAGACGCGCCCGGCTCTGAAGCCGACGTCGCCCTGTTCCCAGAAGCCTCAAGAGTTCCAGTCACCACAAGTTCCCCAGTCTCTGGCCTTCCAGTCACCACAAGTTCCCCAGTCTCTGGCCTTCCAGTCACCACAAGTTCCCCAGTCTCTGGCCTTCCAGTCACCACAAGTTCCCCCGTCTCTGGCCTTCCAGTCTCCACAAGTCTCTCAGTTTCAAGCCTTCCAGTCTCCCAGGGGTCCGGAGTTCCTTCCTCGTCATCCTCCTCTAAGACACCTGTTCCCCGTCACCGGCCCCCTGGGCATCTTTGGTCCCGCCTCCTGATTCCACGTCGCCGGCCCCCTAGGCTTCCCTCGTCCCGCCTCCAGATTCCCCGTCGCCGGCCCCCTAGGCTTCCCTCGTCCCGCCTCCGGATTCCCCGTCGCCGGCCTCCCAGGGTCTCCTGTTCCCTCCTCGCCTGCCCCTTTTTGGGTTGTGTTTTGTTTGCTCCATCCTCTCCCTCCCTCTGGTTGTTTCGTGTCTTGTTTTTGCCTTGTCTTTTGCTTGTGGTGTTTGTCTGTCTTGTGGTTGTCTGGTATCCGCCCTTAGAGGGGGGGGGTACTGTCATGGTCTGCATCTGCCCCCTCCTTTATGTGCCTCCTGGTGTCCTCCATCCCTCTCTAGATTCCCTCTTGTGTCCCTTTGTTCCCCAGCTCCTCTTGTGCTCCACTCCAGGTTCTCCCCTTGTGCTCTCTTAGTGCCCTCATGTGTCCTTGTCTGCATCCCTGTTATGTGTCTTATGTTGTAGCTCTTTGGCGCCCTCATGTGTCCTTTTATGCGTGTCAGTTTAGTGTCTTAGGTTTGTAGTCCTTTAAGTCTATTCCTCCCAGGTCTTGTGTCATCTCATTCATCCCCAGGTCCTCCAGGTCTCATTTACATTCTGTGTCCTTGTAGTCCCCAGCTTCTTTGTCCCCAGCTCAACGTGTGTGTGTGTGTGTGTGTGTGTGTGTGTGTGTGTGTGTGTGTGTGTGTGTGTGTGTGTGTGTGTGTGTGTGTGTGTGTGTGTGTGTGTGTGTGTGTGTGTGTGTGTGTGTGTGTGTGTGTGTGTGTGTGTGTGTGTGTGTGTGTGTGTGTGTGTGTGTGTGTGTGTGTGTGTGTGTGTGTGTGTGTGTGTGTGTGTGTGTGTGTGTGTGTGTGTGTGTGTGTGTGTGTGTGTGTGTGTGTGTGTGTGTGTGTGTGTGTGTGTGTGTGTGTGTGTGCTTGTCCATTCCCCTTTCCTGTTTATATATAAGTACGTGTGTGTGTGTGTGTGTGTGTGTGTGTGTGTGTGTGTGTGTGTGTGTGCTTGTCCATTCCCCTTTCCTGTTTATATATAAGTACATTTGTGTGTGTGTGTGTGTGTGTGTGTGCGCTTGTCCATTCCCCTTTCCTGTTTATATATAAGTACATTTGTGTGTGTGTGTGTGTGTGTGTGTGTGCGCTTGTCCATTCCCCTTTCCTGTTTATATATAAGTACATTTGTGTGTGTGTGTGTGTGTGTGTGTGTGTGTGTGTGTGTGTGTGTGTGTGTGTGTGTGTGTGTGCGCTTGTCCATTCCCCTTTCCTGTTTATATATAAGTACATTTGTGTGTGTGTGTGTGTGTGTGTGTGTGTGTGTGTGTGTGTGTGTGTGTGTGTGTGTGTGTGTGTGTGTGTGCGCTTGTCCATTCCCCTTTCCTGTTTATATATAAGTACATTTGTGTGTGTGTGTGTGTGTGTGTGTGTGTGTGTGTGTGTGTGTGTGTGCGCTTGTCCATTCCCCTTTCCTGTTTATATATAAGTACATTGGTGTGTGTGTGTGTGTGTGTGTGTGTGTGTGTGTGTGTGTGTGTGTGTGTGTGTGTGTGTGTGTGTGTGTGTGCTTGTCCATTCCCCTTTCCTGTTTATATATAAGTACATTGGTGTGTGTGTGTGTGTGTGTTAGTCCTTCCTGCAGCCTTTAGGTTTAGTTTTGGTGTCTTAGTTTCTTAGGGTTATTTGGCCCTCTGTTTCTGTTTCCCATTTTGATTATTAGGTTCACCTGTCTTCCCTCCAGCTCTCACTTCACACACCTGCTGCCATTTTCCCTGATTGCTCCTCCCAGTGTATTTAAGCCCTGTCTGTCTCTGTGTTCTTGTCGGTCCATTAATGTTTGTGTGATTCTGTCAGTTTCGTCCCTCTGTGTTTAAACTAGAGTATCTTGATCCTCAGATAATATATGCTTTTTGACCTTTGGATTTTTGGCCTTTTGGATTTTGACTTACAGTTTGGATTAACCTTGGTTTTTGGCTCACCCCACAAATAAAGACTTTTTACTTAAAATCTTCATCCCTGCCTCCGTGTCATCCTGGGTACTGCATTTTGGGTCCACACCACCGCATCGTGACATTCCTAATATTGTGCAGCCCTAATTATTATTATTATTATTATTATTAAATATCATATTCATTGCGCTAAATGGAGGAGTGCCAAGTCCCCTTTCTTGGGCTTCTTAAATGAATTTAAGATGTTTACTCATCACACAAAGATGAAGAACAGACGTGCCAAAAAATCTCCCAAGATATTGCCCGTCTCTTACTTTTCTAAATTCTAATGACTCATAATTCCACAGCTCCACAAATGTCAACCTTTAAATGTCTGCCTTTCTCCATTTCATTTACCTGCTCCCCAACTGCTGTATTGTTACTTATGAATTGTTATTGATTGCCTTTGTACACATGTTCACGATGCTACTATCCTCTCTGAGACATTGTAAATTTCTATTACTCAAATAAAAATATATAAATAAAAAATTTAAAAAAAATACATGTTCCTTGCTAAACCGGTAGATATATAATAGACATTCACAGGCTACAATCCCACGTGGTTTGAGAAATGGGAGTGGTGTCTTTGAACGTCTCAGCACGTACTTTTGTGTTGCGTTTATGTACATCATACATAATTCTTAAAAACCCCACCAATTGTGTGTCCTTAGTAGAAATTTACTACTTTACAATTCTTAACTTGGTATACATTTATCAGTAATCTATTTCTATTTTTCTGATTCAAATTGGGTGTTTAAAGGCAAAGCAAAGCCAATAAACAAGCGGTGTTGGTTGAATGTACAACTTTTTATTGAAGCATTGAACACAACACTTGCACCGACGTCACACTACGTTGTCGATTATATCACCGTTTCACCGGGTTGATACTTCCTTTGCCGGCTAGCTTGGAAACACTCAAATAAAATATCACCGGACAATTTTGAACAAGCGTCTTTAACATCTACTTAGGTAAGGAATTTAACTCTGGAATGGGAGATTTGTCAACCGGCGCTAATTTAACTGTCCGAGCTAGTAGTTATTTGGCCTTTTTGGTCTTGAATCAGCACGAATCTCTTTAGGAATCAGAATGTAGCGTTTCACAACGGATGCTAAGTTTAAAGTAAGTTGTAAAAGTAGTTATTTTATTGTTGGGCAGGCTAAATCTCTGTCGTCTCTGCTCTTCGTGGGTCACCTTCAAATAGGTCATGGACCTAAATTCCGGGTTATAAATCAGTTTGGGGTGCTTGCTTTACACCTTGTGTTTTCATTAGATTGTCACGGATTAGCTTAAGTTCGGCTAGTTTAACGTATTTTAAATCTAAGTAACTCATTGTTGAGTACATGAACTCTTTTTAAAGGATAGTTTGGGAAAATAACTGCAAATAAAATCAACATTCTGATATTTGTCCTTCTCTGAACTTTGTAGACAAAATGTCTTCATACGAAGAAGGGAACGATTCCAAATTAATGAGGAAAGTAAAGGAGAATCCGTTTGTCCCATTTGGTGAGTACATTCTGTTCAGGAACATTTTTGAAGGTGTCCCTGTTGTGTTAGGCTTGCATTTATATTTAGTTTGAGGCAAACATCTATTGACTTGTGTAATTTATTTTTCTAGGATTGGCAGGATTTGTTGCCATTGTTGGACACCAGCTGTATAAAATGAAGAATCGGGGGGACACAAAGATGTCAGTTCACCTGATCCACATGCGTGTAGCTGCACAGGGCTTTGTGGTTGGAGCCATGACAGTTGGTATGTATGCAGAAACTGGGGGGTGGGGGGGGGTTGTGTTGCGTTCAAGTGTTGGTCAAAAACAAGTTTCACAGTAATTAGACAGGTCCATCCTAACCTAAAGAAGATTCTGACAGACAAGGTGCTGCGGTTGTTGTTTCAGGTGCATACAGGCTAAACCCTTTAGGCACGTCTTCCCTACATGTTATATAAGAGAAACAGTATGGATCTGTTCTTAATGAGATGTTATTAGTGGAAAATAAACATAAATAGATCTAAAGACATTCCTGGTACTTTTATTATGATTCTGTTGTGGAAAATCAGCACAAATATTCAGTGAAAACTTTAAAAAGCTGCTTAAATCTTCATTATTTTATAGTGGGCCTGTCTATATTTATAAAATCAGTTGATTGTTTAAAGTGACTAGCTAAAGTTACTCAGAGCCACTGTAGAAGGTCCAGCCTGAGTTGAGCTGTGGAATAAAGTAATTGAGATTACTAAAGTGGTTGAGAAATCATCTGGGGGGAAAAAACAAAAATGAGTGTTTTTTTTAATGTAAAATAATTAATTTGTTTTATTTTCTCTTGTTTCACAGGAGTCATATATTCAATGTACACAGATTACATAAAGAAACCCAGAAATGAGAAGTAAATGGTGAAACACGTGCACATGGACCCTTAGAATAAACCTCTGTTCTCCTTAAAACCTTCACATATTTACATGTGTGACCAGAGTCTGAAGTGACAAGTTTGAACCAACTAATGGCACCTCCAACTTTAAACAAAGTGTTCCAGTGGTCACACTAAACCTGTATTTAATGCTTTTAGTGCTCTTCTTGGCACATCTTGTGTTTGTGACTGTGATTACTGTACAGATGAGTGGGTGTTTTGAGGATGATGTTAATACTGATTTTGTTAAAAATATATTAAAATTTGCAGAAGATAAATTAAGATTATTTGTGTAGAAAGACTGTGTTTTACCTGACTACTTACGGCAATATGAACATTTATTAATACCATTTTGTTTAGTAATTGTTGATTTTATTTTATTTTTGCCAAATCAAAGCATTTGTATTTTTGTGAGCATCCAGTTGCATTTGGGGCACCTTGAGAAAGGCTTTTATAACACATGGCTCAATAAAATCTAATTATTTAAACAAAAACACTACAGATGGGTTTTGATTCAGCGTAGCAGAAAAGGTACTTCACCCCATGGACATAGGAAACAGCATTTTTTGCTAAACACCAGAGTTGTAAAGGTGTACTGTAACAATTTTCCTTTCATTTTTCAGTTTTTGCCGTGTTTGTGTTTCATACCAAAAGAATAATTCAAAAAATAATCTAAATACACTTGGATACACATACGGTAGTAACATATCAACTGCAGTAAACCTTTCTGAGATATTTTTAAATACATTACTTATTAAAGCATAATTTTACAGTGTGTATACATTTGTGAGAAGTCTGATTTTTTTTCTGCTGTAATTCTGTTTTGGAATCTCAAATTGAGATTTTATACCAGTTTTATTAAAACCATAAGTATACTTCTGACTGCTCACACAAACGTAGTCCAACAGCTTTTCACCTATTTTCTGTTAACTTCTGTGTTCATCAAGTGTTCTAAAGAAAAAAACTACATATTTGTTATCAAATAAAGTCTTCTATCCCACTGATTTGTTTGAAATTGTTTCAAAAAGACAATATGTAGTCCATTCATGTATCCATTCACACAATATCAGTGATTCTAGAAGTTGAAGGGGAATTTATTTTGAACTACATGGTGTCTCCTGAAGCTCCAGCAAGTGTTTCAATCAGGGCGGACCACTTACAGTACGGATGACATGCACCAACACAGAGATACCTGCGGGGTGTGTTTGTGTGAGGATGCACATCAGCATGACTTTGCAAATCTCTACTGGCCGTGCAGGCTGTTCTACTAAAATCAGCATCCTCAAAGGTTTCCCAACTGAAAGTGGCAGAGAAGTTAATGAAGCTCATGTTCCTTCCCTATAATTTAGCTCATTTCTGTACATTTTATTTTAAAGTAAAATAGGTTATCTTCATATACATTTATTATACCTAGACAAGGGAATACATATGTGTACTCTTGAGTTAATGTAGTAGATGGAAGCACATTATCAGCCTTTCTATTAAGAGAAGTCTGTCTTAGTTTGTTCATTAAAATTCAACATGGTTCACTAAAGGGACTGTTTTGGAGAACCTATTATTTTAGACATCACTTTAAAAAAGAACTCAATTTCTATTTTGTACTCACATTTTTCAAAATTATGGTCACAACAAATAGCTGTGGGAGTTGCTTTTGGGATGCACTTGTTTTTAGATGAATGTTGCCATATCTGCAGATCTCTGTAAGGAGTTGATGACACCAACTTCTTAATCTAAGATTCACAATCTTGTTCCAGCAGGTACATCTTTATTGTATGTTAAACAGCTGGTTTGTTGCTTTTACATCACAATGAAACTGCCCAGTTCTCTGTGACTGTATGAGGGACTGTTTGACCAATCTGGACATTTGTTGGATTATTTTAGGTTTTCCTCTTTGGAAACCTCATTAAAGTCTTTTAACCCTAACCCTTCATAAAGAATCACCTTGGGGTCTGTTCATCGTGAGCAGCTGCTCTGATGTGTATCTAGTGGCACCAAACGGAACACATGTACGTGCTGATTTCACCACATTTTGGAGTGATTCTCACTCTTATTCTCTCTCATTCTAGCTTCATTTTAATGCTTCATTGAGAAAAGATTAAACAGTTACATGACATTTAGATTGTGTTGTCAGAATTATATGTCACTATTACATTACAGTTGGTAAAGAAAATGCTCTTAACCACCATCAAAATTTTAATTTTTGAATATATAAAGCAAATGGGACTGAAGTGCTGATTGTATATTTTATGAATTTAACATTTGACACAAGTGCTGGATTTTGATAAGTCTGGCTTATAATTTCTGAAGTCTGACCAAATATCAACTGTTTTTTTTTCAGTTTAGAAGATACACACGCTGAAGAAAGTCACACCATTGTTCTGTTTTCAAATTATAACTTCTTAATATTCATGAATAATGAATTCAAATGATCAGATGACAACACTGAAAAACACAACGTTCTGTGAGCTAGATGTGATAAAAGATGCCATGACTGTCTAATAGTTGGTAGCATTTTTGCCCACCAGCAAGAAGGTTGCAGGTTTAAATCTGAGATGTGGCTTTTAAGCATGGAGCGTGTTCTCCCCATATATGAATGTTTTTTTTTTTTTTGGATACTTGTATTTTTCACAGCCCAAATTATACATTTCATGTTAAATTTTAAGGTCGTATTGCATGAAAGCATGCACATTGAATGAGTAAGCTCCATTTTGGTGAGTGTTTGTAAACTTGCAGGTTGTCTTGTGTTTTTATCAGCTGTTGTTTTATTTGCCATCATTACTTTTATTTTGCTTTTTGGGGGTCGGGATAAGACCCCCAAAAAGGTTATCTTTACACACCTATATAAAGAAGTTATCTTTACATACCTAGACATTTAAATTTAAATTTATGTTTTAGCACAAACAATATTTTACTTCTGAAATATCCAGAGGTTTGGTCTAAAATTTTTCTCAAATATACACTTTATATAATATTTTTACATCAAAATTAGCAAAGGTTTTCACCTTGATTTCAGCCCTTATCATTTGTGACACATTTTATTTTTATTTATTCCGTTTTTCATTGGAAAAGTCTAAGCGTGACACCCTGAGAAAGATGGCCGCCGGAAGAACGAACCTCTTGAGTAATGGCGACATCTTTTCTGTTGACGCGAGAATATGCGCGAAGTCACTGTAAACCCGTTGTTATTGGATACAAAAGCCTCGCACTTATTAGGAAGCTGGAAGTTTAGCTTCATAGCACACGAAAACAATAAAGTTAAACACAAGTTATAATGTTCAAACGGATATTTTTTAGATAAGTCACAGGTGAGTTACGGGTTTTGCAGTTTTTTAAAAACGTTTAGGATTAGGTTTCAAATTTCAGAAACATCTTTTACACCTGGCAGGTTACAGTGTTTTAAAACCGAATGAGCTCGTATGCTAACACATACGCCGGTATTCATTAATAACTTATTTTCTGAGCGCAACAGGAAAATGACATTTATCTTGATTAATCTTAAAAGCAGTTTATAAATATTGTTATTAAACCTTTAACATAAATAGCTAATATTTATTAGGCAATGCTATTTTATAGAGTAGACCTTCCAGAATTTCAAAATAAAGCACCAGTGAACATATACAGATCGAAAACAAATTATGTTTTACTAAATGCAAAATACATATAAATGCTAATTATGGGACACATTGTTGATTTTTTTGTGATTTTTTTTTATCACAGATCATGGAGCAAAGTGATCTCTCTGATGATTTGGGGCTTCAGTTCCAAAAGCAGGAGAAAATAAAGCGGGATGGAAAAAGAGAGACAGTATCCAACAATTTTAATGTCAGTGGCAGCCAATATGATCAGGCTGACAGTGCTGATGACAGGTAGGTGAATCGCTGTCATCCTCGGCTGAAACAAGTCCTATATAAACAATATATTTTATATTTTCCTATAGGGTGTTGCAGCAAGAAAATCAGACACTTTTAGACAAATTGAGAGAGCTAAAAGATGAAAATGGCCGACTCTTTAAACTTCTGGGTGAAAAGGATTTTGAGATTAAGCACCTAAAAAAGAAAAGAGAAGAAGAAAGGCTGGCCTTTTCAGGTGAAATGGTGTAACTCTAATCCCTTTTTTACACCAGAGTTACAGATTTTTTACAGCTTTTCTTGACTCATCTGTTTAGGCACATCTGGCTTGACAGGAGCAATAGCTACCACCAAAATTGTTGAGCTTTCCAAAAAGAACAGGGAACTAAGTGCTGAAATTGAGAGAGAGAAGATTAGGTCCAAGGAAAGCAGCGACCAAATCAAAGAGCTTGAGAAAGAGGTAAAACGATCTTACATTGCAGTTTTTTGGATGAAAGAGCATCACTAATGTGCTTTTTGTGTATAGCTGCAGGCTGCTTTGGTGAACTGTCAACCTGGGCACAAGAGTGACTCAAAGTTACTAGACAACTCATCTGAAAAGGTGAAACAGAAACCAGTCAAATGCATATTTAGATTTTGCTTTTGTGACCCTGAATCATAAACCCCCCCCCCCCCCCCCCCTACCGCATCCCAATAAAACAGGAAAGTCCAGCAGTCAGACCTCTGCAGGAAAAATTAGCAGCTGCTCAACTGAAAGTGGCTGAATATCGCAACCAGGTTCAATCCACCAAACAGGAGCTAAAAGTGGCACAGAGGGTAATTCTTGTCTTTTTAAATTTGATTTTAAAGGCCAGATGAGCTGATTGGTTAAAAGTGGTCCATAGAATTTTTGTTTGTGGGGCAAAAATGGAAAGTTTAATATGAACAGTTGATCACAAAAGGAAAAAAAAATCTGATCAGAATAAAAGAGAAACCTGCAAAACAAAAAGAAAAAAAATGCACTATTTAATACTCAGTTTGTGCTGGAATAGAAGCGTGTTTCATCACCAGTAAATTCTTGATTCCAAACTATGACCTCCTGCAGGTGATAATCAGTGAGGTTGGAGAGGAAGTTAACCTTCAGCAATTACTGAGCTGCCCTGGGAGCTTTAGAGGGCGATCACAGCAGATCCTGGCACTTCAGACAAGGGTACGCTAAAAGTAGGCAGAGTTAGCCTAATTTATGATTATTAGAGCAAATGTCTGAATGATTCATGCAACAGGTTCGAGATCTTGAGCAGCAGCTCAGCCTGGCAACTCGGCACAAACAGGCGAGTGACCTCAGTGTAGAGAAAGAGCTTCCGAGCGCTGGTGTCTATCATAAAAGCCCTCACAGCGAGAGGAACCTCAACTACATCCGCACTATTGAGAAAGGAAAGAAGGAAGCGTTTGAGGTTTGTAGAGCATTAACTCCAAGATAAATTGAAACTATTATCTGGTTCATTAATTACTTCCACAACTCTGCAGAGGCTCTCAGCGGATTATGAAGCACTCCTCAAAGAACATGAAGATGTGAAGAAAAGACTGGAAGCTTCTAAAGCTCGGAGCAAATCTCAATCCACTGAAATAAAAATGCTGAAGGCTCAGGTCACCACCCTTTTGGAGACAAGTAAACAGAACGAGGAACTAATCAGTGCCATGCTGGTAAGGCATTAGAAGAGAAGTAGCATTAAAACGCCTTCACGCATCCCAATAACCTTCCCATTCATCTGTTTTTTTTTAATCTTCTGGCAGAAGCAGCAGAGTCAGACTCAGATGGTGCTGAAACAGTTCAGCCAACAGCAGAGTGAGCACAAACTAAACCTGACTGAGTCTGTAGAGAGCAGCGCTCTGATCCAGAAGCTGAAGCAGGTGGTTGCTGAGAAAGACGTAAAGATCAAAGAGCTGCAAAAGCGGCTGCAACAATTCAGTAGGGTAAATAGAAACAACAAATGTGTGTTTGTGCTGTTTCAACAAAACCCCGCTGCCTTAAACATCTGCAATAAAATTTGTGTTTAAAGCTTCGGAAGGAAGAGAGTGTGGACAGATGTTCAAGTTCCACGTTAACAAGCTGCAGTTCAGATATGTCACCAGAAGATGGCGACGTTAACAAAAGAATTACTTCAGAGTAGGTTTTCAGCAGAATCCTTAGTGTTTTATTTTATTTTATCACGAGAATTGGTCGATATCTTCTATGTTCTGACCAAAAAAAAAAGGCTTAATGCACGCTGGCTTGTCGTTTGACCCTGTTTTAACATTTTCTTTCCAGTTCAGTCTCTAAATATGGGCACAGACTTGTGGTACCTGGTATGGGACACAACATAGAATACAAGTAAGTGGGCTGTTTATTTTTCTTTCTTGTTATTATTTGATATGTTCGTCTATTGTGTGTTTTGTCTTTAGGAGCCTGTGTTGTCCACACTGTTCTGCTGATGTGAGTTTGCTGATGACCCAGAGCGATGAGTATAAAATCCTCAGTGTGGAGAAGGACCGACTCCTTGAGATGGTTCAAGATCTGCAGATGAAGTAGGAATCTATGACTGCTTTGGTTTATTTAATTTTTTTTCTCCACATTTTTAAAGTTTAGCATTTCCAATCTGTTAGAGGCATGAAATAATCCAAGTTAATGTTTGTCATTTAAAAGCTATTATTAATTTAATACATAAAAAGTGTGTTAAGGCATTAAATATGCTGGTGTGAAAAAAAGTCAGTGGCATTAACTTCTAAAGTAGAAACACACTTTCTCCTCCCAAAGGGCCTTTTGAAACATTATTCTTTATTGTTTCTGTAGGGTCTGCTGGGAACGTCTGGCAGAGTCTCCTGTCAGAAGGAGCTTCAAATCCCACCTCCGACAGAACTTCCAAAACCCGGGGGAGGCAGGGGACATTGAGTCTGAATGGACCCTGTTCCGTGCCTCCATTGTTGAGGCGGCCGACCGGAGCTGTGGTCGCAGGATCGGCGGTGCCTGTCGTGGTGGCAACCCCCGAACCCGCTGGTGGACACCAGCGGTTAGGGATGCTGCCAAGCTAAAGAAAGAGTCCTTTCAGGTCTTTTTGGCCTGTGGGACTCCAGAGGCAGCTGACGGGTACTGGCAGTTCAAGCAGAACGCGGCTCGGGTGGTCGCCGAGGCAAAAACCCGGGCATGGAAGGAGTTCGGTGAAACCATGGAGCAATACTTCCGTATGGCTTCGAGGAGATTCTGGTCCACCATCCGGCGCCTCAGGGGGAGGAAAGCAGTGCACTACCAACACTATCTATAGTGGGGACGGTGCTGCTGACCTCTACTCAGGACGTTGTGGATCGGTGGGCAGAATACTTTGAAGACCTCTTCAATCCCACCGACACGTCTTCCAGTGAGGAAGCAGAGTCTGGGGACTTTGGGTTGGCCTCTCAAATCTCTGGTGCTGAGGTCACTGAGGTGGTTAAAAAGCTCCTCTGTGGCAAGGCTCCAGGGGTGGATGAGATCTGCCCGGAGTTCCTTAAGGCTCTGGATGTTGTGGGGCTGTGTTGGCTGACGCGGCTCTGCAATATCGCGTGGACATCGGGGGCAGTCCCACTGGACTGGCAGACCAGGATGGTGGTCCCCTTATTTAAAAAGGGGGACCGCAGGGTGTGTTCCAACTACAGGGGGATCACACTCCTGAGCCTTCCTGGTAAGGTCTATTCAGGGGTTCTGGAGAGGAGGGTCCGTCAGATTGTTGAACCTCAGATTCAGGAGGAGCAATGTGGATTTCGTCCTGGCTGTGAAACACTGGACCAGCTCTATGCCCTTAGGGGGATCCTGGAGGGTGCGTGGGAATTTGCCCAACCAATCTACATGTGTTTTGTGGATTTGGAGAAGGCGTTTGACCATGTCCCTCGGGGGGCCCTGTGGGGGCTACTCCGGGAGTATGGGGTACCAGGCCCTCTGATACGGACTCTTAGATCTCTGTATGACCGGTGTCAGAGCTTGGTTCGCATTGCCGGCAGTAAGTCGGGCTCGTTCCCAGTGAGAGTTGGACTCCGCCAAGGCTGCCCTTTGTCACAAATTCTGTTCATAACCTTTATGGACAGGATTTCTAGGCTCAGCCAAGGTGTGGAGGGCATCCGTTTTGGTGGCCTGAGGATCAGGTCTCTGCTTTTTGCAGATGATGTGGTCCTGTTGGCTTCATCAGAACGTGATCGTCAGCTTTTGTTAGAGCGGTTCGCAGCCGAGTTCAAAGCAGCTGGGATGAGAATCAGCTCCTCTAAATCTGAGACCATGGTCTTGATTCGGAAAACGGTAAAATGCCTTCTCCGGGTCAGGGATGAGGTCCTGCCCCCAAGTGGAGGAGTTTAAGTATCTCGGGGTCTTATTCACGAGTGAGGGAAAACTGGAACATGAGATCGTTAGGCGGATTGGTGCTGCATCTGCAGTGATGCGGGCGTGGTGAAGAGAGAGCTGAGTCAGAAGGCAAAGCTCTCGATTTACCGGTCGATCTACGTTTCTACCCTCACCTATGGTCACGAGCTTTGGGTAGTGACCAAACGAACGAGCTCACGGATACAAGCGGCCAGAATGAGTTTTCTCCGAAGAGTGGCTGGGCTCTCCCTTAGATAGGGTGAGAAGCTCGGTCATTCAGGAGGGGCTCGGAGTAGACCCGCTGCTCCTCCACATCGAGAGGAGCCAGTTGAGGTGGCTCGGGCATCTGGTCAGGACGCCTCCTGGAGGCCTCCCTGGTGAGGTTTTCCGGGCACGTCCAACCGGGAGGAGACCTAAAGGTAGACCCAGGACACGGTGAAGAGACTATGTCTCTCACCTGGCCAGGGAACACCTTGGGATTCCCCCGGAGGAGCTGGCCCAAGTGGCTGGGGAGAGGGATGTCTGGGCCTCTCACCTTAGGATACTGCCACCGCGACCCGACTCCGGATAAGCGGATGAAAATGGATGGATTTCTGTAGGAACTCTTGATATTTTTGTGTATCACTGTGATCAGAATAAATATTCAGTGAAGGGGTGTGTTTTCACAACAAGAGTTTGGAGAGTTGCTTTAATCTAAATCACGGATGAGAAAAAGAAAACGAACCTATCTGATAGGAGTTATTGTTCAGAAATATTAAGCTAACAATTTCATTTAGGTCTCCAATCAGTGCAAACAGGGATCAATCCAACTAACAAATATATGTTTTTTATCTGCCAGAGAGATGGAGATGAACCAGAAGTGTTTGGAAGGAGAGAAAAAGTATCAGGAAGAGCGTCACAAGTTGATGATCCTGCAGGAGGAGTTGCAGAGGATGAAAGCAGACGCAAAGTAAAGATTCTTCATCCAGCAGGGACAAAAATAGTCTTGACAGTTTGATTTGATGGTTTCAAATAAATTTTACGGTTTTGTTAAAGCTCCAGTTTGTCTTGCTCGTGGCATTCTGTCCTCTTTTCCGCTTCCGGTCGGTAACAAGCTGGCCCCTGTGCTTGGCTTAGCCGCAGTCACCGGCCACTTTTTCAAACTTTTCTCCACTAACCTCCTCTTTTCCACCTTGCTCCAGTCTGCTATCCTCTTCAGTAGTGTCCCTGCTACCATCTCCTATGATCGCCAGACTCTTTTGTCCTTCCGTTCATTCACGATCGCCCAAGATGCACCGAGGACGTATCTCCCTGTTTGTTTATCTGAGTGGCGCACTGGCCCGGAGCCAAACGACGATCACAACCAGCACGCCTCCAGCGATGTTTGTCCGGTCCCGGGAAAACATCGGAGGAAAAGAGGTAAACGAGCAGGAATCCAGGTGAGAATAAGACTTCTCTTAAAGCGTGGTTTATCTAGTAAACATCGGCGTGATCTTCTAGCTTCTTGTCCTTTGTTTGGCGACTTGAGCGCCACTTACGCATTCCCGCCAGGCCGCGTTGCGGCACGGTTTCTCCGTCCAAGTTTTTTAAGGTCGGTTTATCCTCATTCCTCAGTAGTTTCTCCTCCTGTTCCTTCCATAAGTGGTTTTTATAAACACCGTGGATCTAACCCTGCTTATTTGCGTCCACTAACTCCAGCTGTTTCTGTAGTTTCTGATTCCTCCACCTCACTCAGCATGACTATTAAATACCCGCTCTGTTAACAATAAGTCCTTCCTGCTCAATGATTTAATTCTCTAAAAATCTGGATTTTCTGTTTCTGACAGAAGTTTGGCAGCAAACTTCTGGTCTGATTGAACTCTGCCCGAGTGGTTTTTCTTTTCTTAGCCAGCCCCGGGGTTCTGGTCGTGATGGAGGCCTAGCTGTTGTTTTCAGAGACCATCTTCCATGTAGCTCTACAACCTCTGGTCAATTTGCTTCCTTTGATTAAAGTCGGGCGTAAGGACCCGTTCTACTGTGCTATGGTTTATTGTCCACCTGGTCCAAACGGTTCTTCCTTTCAGGAGTTTAGTGACTTTCTATCCTCCACTGTGAAGCTGTCCAGAATGGTGATTGTGGGTGACATTAACATCCACGTCGATGATCCATCTGATTAATTTGCCATGAATTTCTCCAGCCTTATGGACTCCTTCAGCTTTACCCAGTATGTTTCTGGCTCCACACACACCAGGGGACACACTCTGGACCTTGTTTTTACCTGTAATAAAGTTAATTTACATCTAATTAAGGACCATAAGACGTTACAATTCCATATCGAGTATGGGATCAATCTTGCGGACCACCGAGTTGTTTAACCAGAAGATCGGAACTTTTTAATGTAGGGATTTGTAACACTTTGTATTAACTGAGAGACAAGAGAAGAGAGAGTCCTTCAAAAGTTTAAGATGATTTATTACTAAATAATTTTAAACAATTTAAACAATACTAACTCTCTAATGATGGATGTATCTGTTTGAATGAGATGTGAGATGGATGGTGTGTGTGAGTCATGTTAATCAGAACTCTCGTTTCCGGAGAAGCAAGTCTGAGTGAGATATGATGTTTTGCTCTTAACTATGATCAGAGTTTGACCGTAGTTTCATAAACACATGAGACGCCATTTTTGTCGCATCCACACATACCCTTAGAATGAGACCTCCTTCACGGATCCAGAATGTCAGGTCCACGGACCCTCCTTTCGGTACTGGAGCCAGTGGTACAGCGTCACAGCACGACAAACTGGATTGTCTCCAGGTAAAAAGCAACAGGTGGTTCACAGCATCAAAAGGGGGCCCTCCTTGGGTCAGTGAGTTCAGCTTTTATTCTGAAAGGAACCGTTGCTTGGTTGGTAAAATGCAACAGATTTTCCCAGCTTGCTGGTTCTCCGCTTAAAAAGGGAAGTCCGGATGGCCGGTCCAGTTACTTCGCTTAGCATGCGGTGAACTCCAGTGAGATCTTGAGAACTGAACTAAGATGGCGTTGGAACTGGTTTTAAAGTCCAACACCTCCATGTCTTTGGACATCTGAACACCTACTCTTTCAGCACGATTCAGGTGACACTGTGCATCTTCTTGGTAATAGGGCTTTTAAGAGCTTAAGAACTGTTCTTTGTTATGCTTCTCCTATCTCACCGACATGGCATAAGTTTGAGAAACAAAAGGGGGGTGGGGAGCCTCCTCCTGCTTTGCGAGCATCATTTTCGCATTTCCAGTTCACTACTATTTCTGATCACAACAAAGTCGCCTCCATAAAGCTGCAACCCAACTTTGAGCAGGTAAAATCAGGTTCTGATCTAACAGCTAAACCATCAGCTTCGCTCCAGTTCCAAACGGAACCCTCAGGTAAATTCAAACAAGTTTCCCTGTGGGTTCGTAACACAAGATACAAACAGTTTGATTACCAAATCGCTTATGAACCTGCTCCCACAGATACGTCCAAACTCGTGTCTCTGTGGGTCCGCAATACCAGATTCAAAACTCTATTCTGACCAACTCTATACTGAACAACTCTATTCTGACCAACTCTATTCTGACCGGATTCTTTTCCGCTAACTGGTGGACCGTTACAAATTCTCTCGTTTTTGGGATGAATTTTTAACAAATGTGATATCCTTTGAATTTTTTTTTTACAGGTTACCTGCCTCCAGCCAGGGTCCTGTTACTAACTCATATTTTTAGGGATTACTAACCTACTGATTTACATTTTTAGAATCGATTTACATCTCTATCTTTTTATTAGTGCTTTGTGTAGCATGATTATATTTGATTGCAAATTTAATTTTATTTTGTTACTATTTCCCTTAAAGGGCCACAAGCCAATTTGCCCTTCATTTTCATGATTATTTCTGTTATACAGGTGCTGGCCAGTAAATAAGAATATCATCAAAAGGTTGAAAATATTTCAGTAATTCCATTCAAAACGTGAAACTTGTACATTATATTCATGCAATGCACACAGACCAATGTATTTCCAATGTTCATTACATTTAAATTAGATATTCATAAGTGACAACTAATGAAAACTCCAAATTTGGTATCTCAAAAAATTAGAATATTCTGAAAAGGCTGAATATAGAAGACACCTGCTGCCACTCTAATCAGCTGATTTACTCAAAACACCTGCAAAGGCCTTTAAAAGGTCCCTCAGTCTTGTTTTGAAGGCACCACAATCATGGGGAAGACTTCTGACTTAACAGCTGTCCAAAAGACAATCATTGACACCTTGCACAAGGAGGGCAAGACACAAAAGGTGATTGCTAAAGAAGCTGGCTGTTCGCAGAGCTCTGTGTCCAAGCACATTAACAGACAGGCGAAGGGACGGAAAAAATGTGGTAGAAAAAAGTGTACAAGCTCTAGGGATAACCGCACCCTGCAGAGAATTGTGACGACAAACCCATTCAAAAATGTGGGGGAGATCCACAAAGAGTG